GTTGAGGTAGTTTACAGTGTATTTTTCGTACAAAACTAAAGGGATACTCGCGCGTTGAGGTAGTTTAAAGTGTATTTAGAGAAGGGTTTAGCACCTGCAGCCATCTACAAAACGCGTCCCGTACAAAACAGCCAATCGTTGATTTTGATTTGGACATTACGTCATCTTGGATACAGATTAATTGAAGTGAATCAAACGTGAGCATGATGCTTACTACTAGCAAAATTGTAGTTAGCACATAAAAAAGTAATGATAATCTTGTTCAATGTTGGGATTAAAGGAACAGTTCAATCGATGATCAAATTGATGTACAATTTTGCCATGTATTTTATTTGCTTATATCTTGTAATTTTCCAGGGACTGCGCATGCTTTAAATACGAAATTGTTAGAAATAGCATTTCTAAGTTAATTTGTAAACAAAAGCACTTGACTTTCGGTGTGGTTTTCTGGTAAGTTTGTGTGTTTATCTAAAACTACAACCTTTTGTTTATCATATCACGCATAAATAAAGTAGTCTAATAAACTTCGTCAATGTTATTCTCTTAGATTTCTGCTAAAGGTAGCGCATGCGTATTAACTATGGGTATGCTGACTGGTCTTCAGGTTTTGAAGGCCGGTTCGCGTCGTTCTTTTCTCGAATTGGGAAACAAAGCAAAGTTTTTAACTCTGCTTTGTCCCCCCCCAGAGGCAGCAGAAGATCCAGAGGGACCGTCTGATGAACGATTTCTCAGCAGCTCTCAACAATTTCCAAGCCATCCAGCGGCGAGCGGCGGAGAAGGAGCGGGAGTCCATAGCCCGGGCGCGGGCCGGCTCCCGCCTGTCGGTGAGAGAAGGGAAATGGAGCCAAAACTAAACCGGGCCTTTAGATCTTTCACCACATTTTGGTCAAACTAAACACTGTTAACAAAACTCCAGACTGAGGAGTTTCACAGTGAGTCAGAAGTAAGCAGCAGAGAAAAGTGAGCCCTCTTATGAGGATGGAGGTTTATAGTAGTTAGGGTTAGGCCTTTTAATTTTTCTTAACCAAATTCTTCCAACAAAAAAAAAGGCCGTCTGTGGCAACAGGTGGGTTTTGATTTTGACGCACTTGGCTTTGTTTCTTTGTAGAATGATTAGGAAATAACAAACAAAATTCCATTATAACTTTGCTGCAAACAAAAAGTAACAAAGGTGATCCAAAAGGTAAATCAAAAGTATAGCGTGTAGCGTGGTCAAAAAATCTTTGTGGCAAACTTCCCGTCATCACACCTGAAATTTTTACTCCAATCCACAACCCCTGGCAGTTTTAACTCTTCCAAATTAACGGGAGGAGCTTGGAAAATTACCAAATAAATCCTAACAATTAAATTCAAGATGGTTCTGTGCAAATTAAACATTTCAACTATTTAAAATTAAACAGAACATGTGAATGACAAAAAGTTAACTTAAATGGCCACAACAGTAGTCCTGGAAAGTTTTATTAACCTTTTCAAATGTTCTGAGAACCCGGTTATTAGATTAGATTAAACTTTATTGTCATTACACAGGTTCAGGTACAAGGCAACGAAATGTTTAGTTTAGCTCTAACCAGCAGCAAGTGCAGATATATAATGGATACGTACTGAATAAATATAGAGATAAATACTATTTTTAGCAGAATGTTACAGATAGATTTGTCCTATAAATATAATATGTAGAAAAGTAGTAATTTCAACTAAATGTACAGCTGGATATGGACTGAATATAACACACAGGTGGATATTACTATAAATAGTTTTTTCAGATATGAACCGTAACATAATATACAGATGATTGTTACTATAACATTTTATTACTATTAGATTTTACAGGTGAACATGTACTATGAATAAATAAATGTATTTTATAATAAAGTTTGGACAGAAGATATCCCACTTAAAGTGAAGTGGAAGATAATTGCATATTACAGTTAAAGTACTGTATTGCAAATTTATATGTAAACAATTGCTAGTTATACAAATTAAACAAAAATATACTTGGTATTTTTTATTTAATTCAAACCAAAGCGTTCTGTCTGGGTTTCGCCTGTGAAATGGAGCCTAATTTCCCCTTCAAATTAACTTAAAATCTTCCAGATTCACAAACTTTTGCCACTCAAAAACCAAAAATAAATGAATTTACTGCTCACTGAAGTGTATTTTCAACATGGCGACGATCACATTCTGACTTTCTTCTCTTTTTTTTTTAGACTGAAGACAGTTTTCGGGATGAAAAACTTGTGTCTTTTGATAAGTAAGTGATTTTCCGCTTTCCCAAAATGTGAACGGATGAAAGAATCAAGACATTATATGACAACTGAATCAATTTACCTTAAATTCTGGACTATATGAATAAGGAGAAAGCTAATTATGAGCTAATCCTACATTATCAGATAGCGGACATTGATTTCCGTCCCTTTCTATTAGGAATTTGACTTTTTTGGTCTTTTCCAACTCACCTCATGTATTAAAAAATCTAATCTGGGACACATTATATTATAAAAGGCTGTTACATTTACTCTTGGGTTCTCATTAAAATCCTCGTAATTAATTTCAAGCTGCAAAACAATTACCAAAACGAACAGCTCAATTAGGGAGGTTAAATCCCACTTTCCAGTAAGAGGAATCTTCTGAGTAGAGAAAGAACCAGTCAGAATCAGAAACAGAAATACTAAATAATCCCAGAGGGAAATTATTTAAAGTCGATAGTTTTACTACTTTTGGTTTAATTATAAAATAAAAAAACGAAACAGGAAGCTTAGCCCACCAAATATTTGTTATTAATTCAAGATTTAAAGTGAAAACAACTAAAAAAACATGTTTTTATTAGTATAATTAGTACAGACTCGTTTACAGTCGGTAGTTGGTGTGTGAATGATGTGGAAAAACTCGTTTTCTGATGCTTCTTTCCTGTTTTCTGTCCTTTCTGTACTCTTTGGTTCTCATTAAAATCCTCGTAATTAATTTCAAGCTACAAACCAATTACCAATACCAATATTGTTATTAATTCAAGATTTAAAGTGAAAACAACTCTAAAACCGATGTATTTATTAGTATAATTAGTTTTTAAACGAATGAAAACTCGTATTCAGTCGGTAGTTGGTGTGTAAATGATGTGAAAAACGCGTTTTCTGATGCTTCTCTCCTGTTTTCTGACCTTTCCGTGTGAAGCCAAGACGACTGGGGTCAGACCAGCGTCCAGACGGAGGAGGCGGCCATCACTGAGGAGGACCTGGAGCTGATAAAGGAGAGGGAGACCAACATCAGGCAGCTGGAGGTGACCTTTGACCTTTGCTCTGTGCTCCCATCACCGCCTGCCTCGTTAAAGCCCGCTGACGGATTTAAGTTTGTTGTTTGTTGCTTTGTTTACACCAGTCCGACATCATGGACGTGAACCAGATCTTTAAGGACTTGGCCGTTATGATTCATGACCAGGGAGAGATGATCGGTGAGTTTGTCCCGGGTCCCCCCCCCCCCCCCAAAGGCCCCCCCCCCCCCCCCCCCCGTAAAGGAAAATACATACGAATTTAACTGGTTCCAGGACCGACTCCCTATGTTAAAATATTCATATCTCGGTTCAAATCTTCCATCAGAATACACTATAATTCCTAGAATTGGTTCCAAAAACCTATGGTGACTCCATAATAAATACTGCAGATAAATACACATAGTAATAAAACCAATTACTTATATAAAGGGGATGTAAAAGGAAATAAATGATAAGGAAATAATCAATAAAAAGGGTTTTTATTGGCCCTTTATCTCAGAGACTGAAGAACGGAGATACAGGACCAACCCTGACTCACTCTGACTTTACTACCTGAACTTAAACTAACTTAGCTTAGTTATTTTTATTGAATTTTTTATTTTATATATTTTTCTATTACTTTGTCGTATGTTGGGAAATTTACTTGAGGTGTCGAGTTGAATATATCTACACTTTGTTAAACCAGTCATCTGTTCTTTGTTTCAAAATCAAAGACAAAAAACTATAACCTGATTTATTTATTTTTTATTCCCCTTGTCAAGGAACCAAAAACAGGTTTTGTTCTGTTTGTTTTCTCTGTTCCAAACCAAAAACAAATATCAGAATTGACATGGTGTATTCAGATAAATGTAGATAAATAGTTTAGACAGAGTAGGAGCTGCATCATGGTTATATTATTAGATATTATTTCTATCTATCTATCTATCTATCTATCTATCTATCTATCTATCTATCT